AGTCAAACGAGGTCCAATTTCGAAACTCAATACGCATTTATTCTTTTTAAGTTTTTCATAATTTATTTGTGAAACGGATTGTTTATCTAGATCGGAATTTTTCTGTAATCCATGGTCATTTATATTAGAATTGGAATTTGTATTTTCTTGATTTAGAATATACATAATATTAATACCTATTAAATATATATGTGTGACGGTGAAAATTCGTCAACATAATTTTTAAATTATTTGTACGAATTAAATGATTTAAAACACAATTAAAAATAATTAAACGGTAAAAACACACAAGAATTATAGTAGTTTATCCTCAATTTGAGAGTTGTGTCTGCTGTAGGAATGAGAAGAAATTCATTACTTTAGAAGAGAATACACACACTAATATTCAAATGAGATTTAAGAATTTTTTAGCTTATAATCTCTTATTTATATTCATAATTACTACTCATATTTTTTTTTATTTAAATTTAGGATATTATTTCTTATTTTTTAAAATAAATTCTTAAAAAAAAAATTATATTCACCTTTAAAAAAACGTTCACATAAATCTCTTCACCTACAATTACGGATACAATCAATTCATACTGTCGTTTATATCTTTTCTGAGCAGTCAACTTCTTTCTAACAGGCAACTTCTAAAAGAGTTATTTACTGTTGTGACGGTCTCGTTTATTTTATGAATTTAAATGTTTAATTTAAATTGAGATGAGATATTTTTTAAAAAATTTTATTATAATAAAAAAAATTAAATGTGATATTTTTAAAAAAAATATTACTATAAAAATTTTAAATTAAAAATTTAAATTAATAAAATGAACAAGTTCTTAATAATTTTGTGATCTTATTTAAGTCGTGTGGCTCTATTTAAGATTTTATTCAGGATTTGGCGTTTTACATATAATCGAGTATTAATTGAGCATTATATTGAAGCTGATCAAGTTGATATGTCAAATCACAAAGTACTCGGTTCTAGCTGTAGTGAACTTCATGTCTTACTCATTTATGACATAACCAGTGCGCTTTTGCCAACACACGGAGGCACTCATTTATGAGTCTCTGACATTGCTAAGCATAATTATTAATTCCGGAAGTACTCTTTGATTCACAGTAGTACTCAGATCTGTTGTAGTAATTAGGGTACGTTTAGTTACAATAAGGGAATAGTAATACGAAGGAGAATGAGAATAATAATCGGACTAGAATAGAAAAAAAAAATTGATTTATTTATTTAAATATAATTTTAAAAATTCTTTAAAATAAAATATAAATATTTTTATGTTGATAAATTTATCCTTATATTATATATAATACTAATATTTTATCTATCAATATAATATATAAAATATAATATAATATAATATAATTATTATTATACAATATAAGTCAACTACGAGATATTTCCCTCCACTGTTATATCAAAGCGTGTTAAACGTGTGAACCATGTAAATGCATACTGGATATTTTTTTTCTTTTTGAAGGGTTATTTTCTAATTATTGCCTGGACCGCTAGAAAATCGAGGACCAGCACCAATAATATGCATCCAACGCCTGCCATTACATGCTCAATAAAAAGGTACAATTGGGACCAGCAAAGCACTACAACGCGGTGACTAACCTTTAGGTCACGTTCACTTCGCTGATTTGAGTTTAAAATTTGAGTTAAGATGTGACTTTATATGAAAGTTTTTTACTATAGTAAAAAAGTTAGATGTGATTGTTTGTGAGAGCTTTTTACTGTAGAAAAACTCAAATTCTAAACTCGAATCAGCGAAATGAACGGAACCTTAGAGTCTGTTTGGTTCATAGATTAGAACCATGTGATTAGAATTATTTTCGATTTATGTGTATTTTTTGTGAAAAAAAATACTGTAACGAACCACGAATTATAATTCGAATAAGAGAACGAATTCCTCTACCAAACATCACCTTAATAAATAAATTTCAAACTGAACACGTGGCATAATTGTGAATGATGATTGCTTCATGTATATCTCTTTTACCGTCAGAGGCTCGATTCTCTGTGTGGTGATGTGCATCCACTTCTAAGAGAGCATAAAAAGATCTCCTTTCCGTTTCCGTTTCACCTGTAGTCTGAACAAATTCTCAAAATAACGTTAAATAAGAATGTGAAGACACCACTTAATTCTTTTTTTATTCACCAAAAAACTGAAGACTAAACTGCCTTAGCTTCATGCATGCTCGCGGAATATGCGACACCATTTTCTATTGAAAGTAGACACCATTATCTTTTTAAAAGCAAGTATGAAACCAGCACAAATTGCTATTTCATCATTTCCTTATTCACGTTGAAAAAGAAAAAAAAGTTGGATAGTGCAAAAAAGTTATTAGGTGGTCTATTGTCGCTTTAGGATTTGAAGTAGCCAAGTATGCTGGTCCCTTTTAACCATCCAACAAGATCAAGCGTAGGCTTAGTATTTTTAAATAGATCAAACCACATAAAATGTTCATTTGGTTGGATACACGTAAAAATATTTCATTACTTCACCAGGATGACACTAAATCAACTAAAAACTTCCAATAATATCTTTTAATTATATTATAATATTGAAGGGTAATTATGGAAAAAAAAAAAAACTTAGAACGGTCATTCCTCTCATATGAGGAAGGAATGATGATTCACCCAAAATGGGTGAATGGCCATTCCTTTTGAATGATCATTCTTTTCTTTTAAATCCAACCAAACATCAAACTATAATTCTATTCCATTACTTTCCACCCAACCAAACACACCCTTAGTAGAAAAGATATATAACTAGATAAGAAAGGGAAAG